ACCATTAATGAAAACTTTCCAGCATCTCAGCATAACTGACAGTGAAAAAAATCTACGCATCCCATAAAAAGACAACAGAAGCAACTGAGGATTTCATACTAACCACCTCTAAGTTCTACATGAATATATCAACAAAAACACATGTGAGCGAATTTATCTTGACTGTTTCATCAACATGCTGGTAAATTACAATACTGGACTAAATTTAGCCATCCTTCTTGTATAGATGGATCTAGAGGTCTTTTTATACCTTCCTAAAGTGTGAGAATATAACAGACGAAGACATGTACTGCTTACTAAGCGACAAAAATGGGACTATGATCAATGAGGCTATGGAGAATACCTAGAGTGGTTAATTTATAAATGACTTAGAAAGTAATATTCCTTTTATTAAGATGTTGTTTATAACTCATCGAACTCATTTTCTTTTACACACTAACTGGTTATTTTGCCAATATAAAAAGTCCACCAGCGACATCATTTTTTCATTAACTAAATGGCTGCGTTGTAACATGAAACTTTGCACAAAATTACGGTAGTTTTAGTTACCTTACTTCATTTCGCGCACAAAGGTACGGAAAATAGAGAAAAATGCGATCCAAAAGGACAATAATAAGCAAAAATGTACTCTTGAGAAAGAATAGCAACATTACAGAAAATTGCGAGTTTAATGGAGATCGGAGATTACAAAGAGTGAATGCATTTTGTGAGCATCTTCAAATAGGAGGACATTGTCATCCACATACTCGATAAGATTGTTCCTAACTCGCCAAAGTCAGTCAGAGTCATTTCCATTAGTACATTTATGATTAAATTATTTTCTGAAGTTCCATCCATTTACTTTGTGTCATTTCGAAAAACATTACAAAAAGGATGAATGTGACTTACAAGCACTTGTATCACTACAAGTTGAATTGATAATCAGTACGATTTTTAGTTAGTCAGTTAACTAACTTGTCATTCATTTTCCTTTAAGTCTAAGTCATGATGTCCTTTTTTATTTGTTGAGTATAAAACTCCCTACACACATCTTATAACCTTTCATCTTCAGTAGCATACACGAAACCCTGAATAACAAATGTCTTTAATTTGACAAAGACGCTCAACTGAATACTTTGTCAACCATTCGTTTCATTTATACAGATTGTATGAAGCTATAAAAAAGTCTACTGTATCAAACCTGTTCATAAAAATACAGATCTGATAGCACAGTCCAAGATACTAAATAATCATAGGGAAGTGACCATAAAATAACTTCCACATACTAACATTTATGAGTTACTTCACTTAAACACATCAAATAAATACATTTAGGTGGGATTAGGAAAAAGAGCAACGTTAAACTATCATAGCTAAAACCGCAGTGACCTTAAACAACCAATCAGAATTCATATGCAAAAAGTCGCATAATTGTTGGAAAATACACTAAAAAAAAATATTGCTAACATGATATTACACTGTATCCTTATAGCTTATGTCTTGTTAGAATGTCTCCCAGTCAATATATAGATGATCTATACAGAAATCGTAAATGCGTGATGTCCCCATTGATTCGAGTGACTGCAGGTTATGGTACTTTAAGATACATTGATATTTCTGACATTAATCTTCAACCTACTCCTAACTTTAACCCTAAACATAACCTTAACTCTAGATCCTAAACCTTAATTTTAAACTTCTTAACAGTAAAGTTAGGTAGCTACCTAATAGCATACATTTGCAGAAAAAGTACGTAGTAAATAAGTGTAATAATGTATCTCTCCTCTCCAAGTCCGAAAAGGTAGGTATTATTTGATTTGGAATGACATCTCATAGCATTCCCTGTGTTTGATAGGTCCTTAAATGTTATGGGTATGATACCGTAACTTCACCAATAAAAGAATAGGATTATGGCTGGAATCTTTTCAACAGATTAAATATTCTGGCTATTCAGTACGTTTGTAAAGTTCAGTTAACTTGTAGTTTTTTAGCTGATTAAAAATACCCATTAAAATTTTCAAAAGAATGGATGTTGAACAAAGAGTACTCTTTTCGATAAATTCATCATCAGGCTCTACATTTATACATACATTATAGTGAATGAATGAGATAGTGTTATAAACGACATTAATGTTTAAGTAACATCAAATCAATAATATTGATAAATTACACCTGAATCGCATCAACATAGAATAAGCTGAATTTGAACAAAGCAAGAACTACAGTTTTAGCAGAATAAAATGGTACCATCTTTTATTTCTTTGCCTTCTCGTCAGCTGCTTACATGGCAAAGACATTATTAAATATACCTACAACAACAATTTTAACATACTCGCACAGAGTTCAGTTTAAACAAAAATCAATCGATCAATATACTCTGTGCAAGTATGTTAAAATTGTTGTTGTAGATATATTTAATAATGTCTTTGCCATGTAAGCAGTTGACGAGAAGGCAAAGAAATAAAAGATGGTACCATTTTATTCTGCTAAAACTGTAGCTCTTGCTTTGTTCAAATTCATTAAGGGGAATAAATGTATGAAATAAGCTGAATGTCAGAAACATTAAGAAAGATAATAGTACAAATTCATGAGTTTATAGCTTCTACTGAAGGCCAGGGTAATAGTAGGGGTTGGACTTGCTTCTTTTGGAAATTCCACATAAACAGAAACTGTTATTATACCTCATCACCGTATAAATGTACAGGGTCAGGGGAAGCAACAATTACATTCATTCACCAAATGAGAACTTCAAAAAAATTAATAATTAAGTTATATTCATTTGTCAAGATCAAATTTCAGAACAGAAAGAAAAGAAAAATAGTTCTTCAACTTTATTGAAACAAGTAATAAAAATGTGAAGTGAACACTGGCGGATTATTAACGAATTAGGATTTGGGGGAATCTGCTCCTGTAAAGCTAGTTAAACAGCTTGTTTTATTCATGTCCTCTCAAAACGTGCTGAAGAACACTACCCAGAAGTGCTATGATTGAGCACCTCGTTAGAACCTGAACTAGCATCTCACCTGACTAATCATTCGGAGTCATCCATCCACAAAGTGAACATAAATCTACCAAAGGCAATGTGTTTTCGACTTTTTGTATCACAGAAGACCTTTCCATATACACTGAGAAATGGGAGTTATTTGTTCAAAAGAAACTAGTCCAACTCCCTCTACATTCACCATGGCTCTTGTTCTGTTTAGCTCCTTAATTGTCTTTCTTTTTCATTCCCTTCATTTCTTCATCTTCACTTATAGAAAAACTGTTATTTCACTTTGTTTCTGTGCCCATCTTTCTCACACCAGTCTTCTTTATGAACCACTTCACATATTACACAGCTATTTCCTAATTCGAAGTAATTTTTTCTATATGCCCCTTGTGGTCTATATTCATACTTCTAAACTTTCATATCAAGTTAAAATTTATTGTCTCTCTTAATGCCTCTTCTTTACTAAGCTGAATTAAACAATAACTAAACTTATTTGATATTACTTTTAGAAATGGGATTGTATCGTTTCTAGAGGATGAAATGGCTCAAAAGATATCTTTGTGTGTCCTCTTCTCCTTTTCTTCCTAATGTCTTGATGGGTAGTTTTCACAAAAATTTGGATTTCTCCGCTAGATGGTTAATTTTAGAGTCCTATGTAAATCAGTCTGCATAGTGTGCAAGCATCACATCAAACTGATCCACACAACTATAAGATGAGGGTGAACACTTAAGGTCAAACTGATAAAATGACATCTTATAAACAAAACTTATTTGATAACTCCTGTCTTTTAATATTAACGCAAACAATAGTTTACATCCTGTTTTGCACAGAGATATGCATCAGTAAATAATTCAAGATGCCATTTGCTACTGGCTGACTGATATGAGTAATTGAGTACCACTCACACATCAACTGGTAATATTTTCTAGCCACACAGAAGTGATCGAAACGTCAGGCAGTCAGTAATATCAGTTTAAACTGGCCAAGTTCTGGTAAATCGCAAATATGATACAACGTGTCAGCATTAGCCTAAGTAGCCAGCTAGATAGCTAGCTAGAATTCGAGTGATTTGAACTGATATGGCTCTTTGAGTTGAGAAAAACAGGATACACTGTTGATAAAATTGGCGAAACTGTCATCCAGTGGTGTTTAGGTGACTTCATTCCAGCTGACTGGCAACCACTACTAGTTGATGTGAGTGGTATACAACTAGTCATCTCAGTCAATCAGTAGTAGTAGTAGCAGAAGTAGTAGTAATATGTAAAGTAACCAATTTATGCTTGCTTTGTTGATTACAACTTATGGTATCAGACAGACCATATATTGTGGTGATGTGAGTAATTTTCCGTTTCCTAAAGGATACTGTGGTAAAATTTCACCTGCATGAACTGTTTAAACTGAGAATCATGAATTTGTTTCCCATATCATACGATCGTGAAATGGCTGGTGGAGATTCTTGGGCCGGTGAAAGAGGAGCTGTCCATAATTTGTTTCCATCAATTGTTCAAACCTTGTAAAGGACAAATACTGATCGATAGTAGTGTTAAACTTCCGTATACAGGCATATATATATAAGAAAGTAAATCAATCTTTGGAACTTTTTAATATTCCTCTAATCACTAACATTTATGATTTCTAAACACTAATTCTTAGTCAGTATTGTACTCACTCTTCGGTTTAACCAAACAAGAGTGAGTGAGGTTTTCTTTTCCTTCACGTTCCCAGTGGAACATAGGGCTCCAAGCTAGAGGCTTGAAGTTTCTGTAGCAGGATGTGATGGCTAGCCTCATGCCCAACCTTTCCGCTTTACCAGTCTCACTACTGGCTTAGCGAGATAAGGGAGTACGTCGGTCGGGGATTGGACCCCGGACCATGTGCACGGTCGGCGAGCATCCTAACCGCTGTACCCCCGAGTATGGTTAGTGAAGTAGAATTCCTCTCTGGTTTAGTAATATTTTTCTTTCAAATAGTAAATCAGTTTACTGCCTGTCAAAATGAGAATAAAAGTATTTAAGTGTAAGACTTACTTACCAATTCTTGTAGTATTCCACTAAATGATTTAAAATCTAATAGTTACAATATTTATTTATTCATAATTTTATCATTTATGTTAAATGATCAAGCATACTGTAGTGTATCAAAATATGTTTAAATGAGGAATAAATTAGTCAGTGAATAGTAATTCCAAATATTCATGAATCAATACCATGTTATTTGTTTAAAAGTATTCTTCTTATGTTTTAGACAATGTTCAAGGTGTTCAACTAATTTTAAATATACTCACTAGTGAAATAAAAGAAACACCCAATGAAAATCAGTAGAAATTATTGCATCATAATACTAATGTACACATATATATCTTTGTGTATACATACACACGAAATCATAAATTCTTAAAATGTCAATTTTTATTTGACTAGAAAGAAAGTATGCTTTAAAGTTAAAGAAGGGGAGTGGCAGGCAATTGAAGTGGGCGAGAAAATTAGCAAATACGAGAAGAAATCTGTGATTGTAAGTAAAAGACACAAAAAATGTCTCTCACTCAGTTTAATTTATGGTCTGTTGACAATTATCTTAGTGTTAATGCCATCTGACCAATCATCTTTAAGATCAATAGTATATACTGTAAACATACTAGTATATATTTTACTATTGTTGTTGTCATCAGTATTATAATGGTTGTCGGAGTGATAGTTGTTACTCATTTATATCTATGTAATACACTGTTGTTGGCTTTGTTTAGTTTTCTTTTTCAATTAAGACTGAAATTTCTCTTTATTCACTGAATGAAAATCATCAGTTCATGACCTAAGTTTATTCACAGATTTGGGTAATATAATATAGTAACAGTCATACAAGTCAGGAGCGATCAACTTAGTAGTGAAATAAATCGTATTTACTGTTACCTCTATTATTATTATTATTATTATCCCCTTGCGTTCCAAGTGGAACATAAGGCTTCAACAGCACATCTCCACTTTCTCCTGTTTTCTGCCTTCCTCTTTAGCTGGCCTCACAACTGTCCACATGTTTTCACCTCCTCTACACAAAATCTCTTCCATATCACCCAAGAAGCGATGTCCAACTCATCGTTTCTCACTCGGATTCCAATGAAGAGTCTAACTCTCGGTGTAATTCATCGATCTCCTCAGCTTAGGCCCTATCCATCTCCACTGTCTTTGGAACATTTGTTGAGCGATAGGTTCTTGATTGGTTCGTTCTGAGAGCTTCTCGTTCCTAAATCTTTCCAGTCGGTTATCTGATCTTCAGTATGAAGCAAAGGCAACCGTTCATAAAGGTCTATAACCTGTTGGAAATCTTTTTTCGTGGCACGCTGTACAAGTTTCTGAGTCGTATAGAAGAACTGACTGAATTGACATTGGCGTTGAAAATCCATATCCTGTTCTTGATGCTTCTGAGTGCAGAAGATTTCCAAACTGATTTCATATTGACGAGGTCGTATTTTGTCTTTCCGATTCTGGCCTGCTTCGATATCTTCATCTGTTCCGCCTGCCTGGGGTTGAAACGATGCTTCCTGCATAATAAGTCAAGGAAGTAATCTCTGTCGAATTTCTCCTGTTGATGGGGATTAGTGCTGGCTGTTGTTGTTGTTGCTGTTGGTTGGTTATCTTCATCACCTCTATCCTTTCTTTATTCACCTGGTGTCCTGTCTTGGCCGTTTCCTCAGTTTGTTTGTTGGTTTCCGCTTGCGAGTCTTCGAGTTTGTGTGACACGAGAGGTGAATCATCCACGAATTCTAGACCTTGTAGTCTTCTTATCGGTCCAGCATATCCCTGTCTTTCCACTTTTGCATAATCAAGTCCAACACAATTAGGAGTATCATTGGTGATAATATAGTCTTTTCTTACTCCTGCATTCACTCCAAAGGCTTCTTCTCTGAGTTCTCCTTTATGGATTACCTGTCACATGGCATCATCATATGGCTGTTGGACGAGGTTGGTAAAGATTTGGGGCTTTACAGTCCTTAGTACGGAAGTGTTTCCGAAATAATTCACTGTCAACTCTGTCTCTATAGTTCAGATACATGCCTACGTTACATGGCGCATAACCATTTCTGCAGTGTGGTTTCACGTATGAAACACTACAGTATCATCATTGCATCATCGCTACACAGGCGCATCACTTAACAAAATCGAATTGTGCACAAATAAGGCTGTCTACATTTTTTAAGATAATACTATTATCAAGGTAAGTGATCCCAATACACTTTAAAAGCCAACCAATTGGGGTGCTTACAGATTGAGTAGTATAGTAAGGTCTATAATACTGAGGTTAGGCTCAAAGCTTTAGGTAAAGAGTGAAAATCAGTCGAGGTCACTAGGACACCTGATACTCACTATAAGCCATCTCCATCCTCGTCAAGCAATCTTAGCTGATATAAAACTGTGTTGCAAAAGAGTCAGGGGTGGTTAAATCAAAACACGGTAACAATTCATGAAGTATTTGACTTTTTGTTTGAGCCACGTAAGGAGTTGTAGACTGCCTGGTTTCAGTCTCTGACACGCTATAAATTAACGGCTTTAAAACCCTTCTGTGATATGGTTTGAAATCATTTTTAATAGTTTATAAGCGATCACTTTTCGTAGTTCAATGCATCCTTGAAATTCACCATATGTCTGTTCTATTTCCAGCATTTCTCTGTTGATTAGAGTTTCTTTTCATCATGAGCTGACATTAGTTAGAGAACCATTGGAAAACCCGGGAGTACTGGACAGCTTTTTAGTCCTAGTTTTTGGGCATTACGTACCCATGACCCCACCGAGATTAAGATTTGGGACCTTCAGGTTACAAGGCCACTGGGACGGAATACAATGGCCTAAAAATCCTAACTTCCACGAGTTCACGATACATAACGCCACAGCTAGCCAAAATCGTCAGCAATCAATCTTGAAACCATTTAAACCCCTGCAAACTAGCACTTGTAGATTAATCTATTACCCACTGGTGACTAACCACAGGATGGAGTTGCTCGAAGTTCTTCCGGGATTTCTCGGCCACTGAAGTCCACTCAGTTGGACATCTAGATAAACATTCCTCGATGACACTGACTGGAGGTTGCACTATACATCGCGAACTGAGAGAAGCTAGAATTCATCGGCTGGCCATTGGATTTCATTCCTGTGGCTCAGTAGTCAACGAGCTCGCCTCGTAACCTGAAGGTCCTAAGTGCGATCCCCGGTAGGGTTGTGAGTGAAGGGTCCAAAATGAGGACGAAACAACTGTTCTGTACTTTCTGATTTTCCAATTGTTCTGTGATCGATGTCAGCTTGTGATCAAACCTGTGCCGTTTCCGAGTAGATAAACGTAATATTGGTCAGTAAATCAACAATCAAGTTATTTAAGTATATCCACTGAGTACCGGTTAATCGTTTGTCATTAACACATGTCATGACGTATAGTTCAACTTTAGAAGCTCTATGAACAACGAAAATAGCTAAACTGATAGTTTTACAAAACCTCATTAAGATTTTATAATTATCTATTCACATATGTGATAACTCTGTAGAGTGTCAATCAACCAAAATTCACTTATAGCAAAAGAAATATTATATCTTCACAGATTAGGCTGAAGCATCAACATTTGAATGGCAAACTGTTACTAATATACTCATACTTTTACCTTATCTTGTTTTTTTAATTAAACTGGTTTCGCTGGTTACAGAGTTTCATCGTGGGCTTACATCGGTTAGAGAACCACTGGAAAACCACCTCAGAGTGCTGGACTGATGAAGAGTCCCAAAGTAGGACGAAACAGCTGTTCTCTAACCGATGTCAGCTGATGATGAAACCCTCCAACCAATCAAACAAAATCCCTACAAAACCACTACTTCAAACTTAAACTGGTTTCCTTTTTGAACACACATTCCAGGTTGATAACTGAGCTTAATCAAGAAATGCTTTTGAAGTTTATCATAAGTTTGTATAACTTACATGAAAAACTAAGTTGGTGGTAGGACTGAATACCTACGTTTGATGATTAGTAGAAGTTGTAATAGTAGTAGTAGGAATACTAGCCGTAGTTATGGTGTTATTTGAATAATGAAGATTATGATTCTGTGAAGTTATGGTGATCGAAGTTATTCACAAAGTACGTCAAATGGAACCATTTTTTATTTATTTATTTTTTTGATTACAGCTTGATTCCACATCGTATTTTTGGTACACATATGGAATTTTCAGCGTGGATATCGGTAGCCCAAAATTCGCAGGCCGACCATAGATATCAGGTGTGCGTCGGCGTGGGCTCGAACCCCGGACCATGTGCATGGTCGGCGAGAATCCTAACCACTATGCCACCATGTCCAAGATACACCCACACTTCATATCAAGAATTCTAAGACGAAAACCGAAAAATGTTAGCAGTCGCTACTGGTAGTAAGCGGAAAGAAAACTCATTATGCAACGTGTTAACCAGTTTTGTAAAAATAAACGGTGCTCATGATGAAAGGCAAAATGGCTACTGTTTAGATTGTGAATAACGTAGCTACATCAGAATTGATTTTCAACACTAATAAAAATTTAAATTATTTGGCCTTAAATAATCCCAACAACAATAAAGCCGGTAAAGATGAATCTGTGAATAGGAATCCAGTAATTAAATGGTAACACATAATGAGATATTCAATTCCTGATTTAACTTACTTATAAGTGTTTCAATTTCAAATTAGGATCAGGCTATTATATATTATTATGTAATTTGTAGACATTTCTTAACTTTCCCCCCCTCCCACTATTAACATCACCAAATCAATTTATTTGTCTATACAAGACTCAAATGAACAACAAAAGATTTTGTATGTTAATTTTGTATTTCCCGTTAATTGATTATATTGGACCGAAATATTCAGTCATTGCTGACGTATCGACTGATTTTACTGGCGATTCGATTATTTCCGAGGATTAACATGACTTAATTTGGTAGATGAGGATTTCCAGTGGAATTCAGTATGTGAATTTTGTCATATTTGGAGCTCATCACTGGATGTGTCTTCAACCTCCAGTGAGTAGTGTTCCCAGTGAAACTCAAACCTAGCACCTATCGTTTTAAGTGGGGTCCGAATGGCATTCTGGATAACTCTCTGGCATTTGAAACGATAGTTATTGGGTTTGAGTTTCAGTGGGAGCACTGACCGTCGCTCGCTGGAAGTCACAAGTACATCCGGATGATAATTTCTAAAAAGAACGAAATGTACATCGTAAATTCGATTGACAACCATAAGAGACTCTCACTATTTTCAAAATTAATCACGGTTACTCTGAATTTATTCATGGTTTTAGTACCACTGAAATACGTACTACAAGAAAGTATACAGATTTCGTAATAGTAAATGAAGCAAATCTAGTATCGTTCCCCTTTGTATACAGCTGATGATAATAATACACAAAAATAAAACGTCACTATCACTCAATTTTATGTTCGTTGTTACAATTAACTTCCAGTTGATTAAGGCAGATAGAAAAAAAGGAGTTTTACTGCCTACATTAAGAACCATTTATTGTAAATCACAAAAATATAAGCAAGAAAATTGTTAGTGTACTTTCCTTTATTAGATAATAAAAGTGTTTTAATAAGTGAATGAACAATGACAGGAAAGTGGATACCTATTAAAACCTAGTCAATTAATTGTTTATCTACACTTATCAATT